ACGCAACCTCGATAAAAAGGCAAAAGGCGGAACCGCGGAATGGTCCCTCGTCCAACTGGTCGATGTCCAACTCGGAACTCCGGAGTCCGGACCATTGTTCAATTCAATCCAGATCCACCCAGCCAGCCAAGCCATGCCATGCCGTGAATTTAAAAATGGAAACTTAATTTTGATCTACTTTTCATGATTCTTAACGAAGAATCGATTGTATTATCGGCGTCTACTTGACTATACTCAGTTTCATCGAACACAGGTAAATTATCTCTCTTTCACTTCTTGACGACGGACACACCTAAATGAGCCTGTCACCTTGTACTTACATTACACATTTGTCATGTCAAGCTATACTGATCAAGTAACTCGAGTTTAATTTTGCCGATTTACGATTCAGTCGATATTTTCTAACGAGCGAGGTAATCGTGAATTCTATTCTCTTGGTTTGCGAATGCATTTACTACCATGTGCTATTCCTAACCGTGGTTACGAAGTTGATCGAAGAGTCTACGCCTAATAAATCTATCCACTCCTTCCGTGGGAAGGGAGATAATCTTTCATCTATTTAGCATTGAAGGGAAAGACCAGAATCAAGATGGTGGATCTTCTGTTGCACTCTCTAAGTGCAAATCTTATTATCCGCGGACTTCATCACAAGTAGAAACTTCCCAACTCTTGCAGGCGAGTGCTATAGGTAGTCTGTTGGAACATCCTCATACTGCCTGCATTTTCCTTGTGTCTTCAAAAGAATCAAGGACAATTAAAGTTTTGTTGCACCCATTTCCTCTCTTGTACTACATTTGACCGGTGTCTAATTTTAAAGTACCTATCTGGAACTACTTACGAAAGCTTCTATAAGAATGAACCGCTCTACGTATCAGATGTTTCAACTCAATGTATACTGGCAATCGGGTTATCCATCAACATTCAAAATTTAAAATTTTATTGACTGGTGGAATGTATTTCATTCAGTGGCTCAGACCTGTAAGTAGTAAAATGTTCCGTTTTTAAATGTTTCTTGGCCCTCCCTCCATAAGGAAGGGTCTTGCTCTCATTTTAAATTCGTTCTGTTATCAAAAGGTGGTTGATATATTGTTACGTAGTTTATTGTCTGTCTCCAAGGACGGCCATTAACCATAGGTAGATCAATTTGATGATCTGTCTCCCGCTTTGTATTTTTGCAGATCGACACTTCCAGGAGCTTGCCTTATCAGATGTACATTGCTGCTCACAAGGGGAGTCTACGAAGTGACATCCTGGGATTGGGTTCATTTTGCTTGTACATGAAGAATAGACAAATCTAAGGTTGACGTATTTTTTTTTAGCCGCCACCTCCCAACCGTTCTCGAGATATCGATTTTTAAAGTTACGATTTTTGCACGTTTCCGCGCGGAGTTCCGGCGAGTCAACTGAGCGCCGGCAAGCTGCACGAAGCCCGTTTCCTATCAGCGCTGCAGACCGGCCGTCTTCATGAACTGACTCGTGGCCGAGTGGTACAGTATTCGCCTACCGTTTCAGCGGTCGTGGATTCGAATCCCGCTTCGTGCTGTAACCTTTAGGGTACGCCGCAATGCGTTTTTACATGTTTTCTTTATTTTTATCACACACCAAGGGGTCCGCCCCCTGGCCGCTACGCAGTCCAACCCCCAGGGCGAAAAGGCCCGCTTCGCGGCAAGCGAAATCATCGAAATCGACCGTTGACGGTTGCAAATTCAGAGTAAGGAAAAAGTAATTAAGAATATTGTGTGGTGGGAAATTTTTATTTGAAATTAACATCATTTTATCATTCAATTAAAATTATTTACCCAGTAACCGTCAACGGTCGATTTCGATGATTTCGCTTGCCGCGAAGCGGGCCTTTTCGCCCCGGGGGTTGGACCGCGTAGCGGCCAGGGGGCGGACCCCTTGGTGTGTGATAAAAATAAAGAAAACTTGTAAAAACGCATTGCGGCGTACCCTAAAAGCTACGGCACGAAGCGGGATTCGAACCCGCGATCGCTGAAACGGTAGGCGAATACTCTACCACTCGGCCACGGAACAGTTGATAAGATGGCCGGTCTGCAGCGCTGATAGGAAACGCGCTTCGTGCAGCTTGCCGGCGCTCAGTTGACTCGCCGGAACTCCGCGCGGAAACGTGCAAAAATCGTAACTTTAAAAATCGATATCTCGAGAACGGTTGGGAGGTGGCGGCTAAAAAAAAATACGTCAACCTTAGATTTGTCTCTTCTTCATGTACAAGCAAAATGAACCCAATCCCAGGATGTCCTTCTTAGATTTCCCTTGTCAGTGCCATTTGCTCTATGCCTGTAGATGTTTCCTGTCATGTGTGGAAGGAACGTCGGGTAGAGAATCGATGGCTACCTTAATATCATCAATGATCGTAGTAAATCGTGAAATTATTTAAGCTGTGGATCTATGATGTCGCATCTTTTGAAAAATGCTTTCTCCTCTAAAACTAAACTGAAAAATCGTGTTGTGTCAGTGCTTTTTTGAGAGTGGTGTTCTGTATTGATCAGCTATTAAATCATGGTGCTAATTTTTCTTTTACGTTAAAGAGTTCTTTAGATATTTTTACAATGCACTCATCGTGTTTTCAAAAGTTCCTTCGTACCTGCACCAGTTCTAATCGGAAATTTGGATTTATTGTCTTCAAGTGGATTTTTCTGACCCAGTGGATTACAGATTTGAGCGAGTTGGTGAGTGTTGTTTGTTCATTTTCTATTTTACTGAGCATGTCTGCATGGTCCAAATATCATGTGCTCCCATTGGGACGCTTGTCTCCTTTGTCTTGATTCTAAGATTTATTTAATTTCCGTGAGCAATTTGGATGGTACTGAAACCTTCTTGTGATCATTTTTATGCAAATGGTTTTGTTTCCATGAAGAATTGTCACGGAAATGATTTCGTTTCCATGAAAAATTTTCACGGAAATGATTTCGTTTCCATGAAAAATTTTCATGGAAATAAGCCACATGGAAATCAGCCACACGGAAATCAGCCACATGGAAATATTTCCTGTTCCATTTTTCCGTGTCATTTTTTCATGGAAATCAACTTCATGGAAATCATCCACACGGAACATTTTTAGCAGGGAGAATATTTGTTTCACCTCGTCATAAGGTCAACTTGAGTACAAATGTATCTCTTTAGACACGCCCATTACAACATCTTTTACAAAAATTTAGAATCTTACGGCAATAAGAGAGACGTAGATAATTCGACGCTTATTCTGGTAGAAATTTCACGACTATCGGTAACACAATAATTTATACCGAACTCGTCGAATATTTCTCATTCTATTTATACTGACTCTTAGGGAACCCATGCTCTTACTGTGTCTTAGAGAGTGCTACTACTATGGCGCATTTTTCTTTTTTTTCAATGCCAACATCGTGGCTTCGGATCATACGAAATGTGCTACTTATCACTGGTACATAAATGGTCACTCATGTAGTATCAAGATTTAATAATAGATAAAGTCTACTTTTTATCTCCATGTTGCTATTCTAAACAATTGGCTGCGGACTGGCATCAAAATGATCAAACATATGCTGAAGAGCAGCGGCGTATACTGATCGAACATTTACAGGGCGCAGAAGTACTTCGAATGTAGAATGGAGGTTACGGTTACGCACGTTTCTATCACGCCTTCAATTTCCGAGGTAGGCCAGGGAACATTCTTCGTAAAGAAGGCGTCTCGAGTCTTCTGCTCAAGAATGTGTCTCTTGCTCTTGTGTTGTCTACATATCTTACCTCGCAGCGAATTTTTTCAAATATCAACTTGATGGCTTTGACGCTAGTTGTGTGTTCGTGTGCAATGTAACCATGGTTGACGAAATACGCAGGAAATAAAAATTACTTTATTCACTCCTAAATTTCTTTGGGGAAGCAGTGGAACCCTATCACACATTAAAAAAACATCAATGTTCGGTTGAAAAAAGAGATAGATTCTCTTATGCGGTAGGAATGCTTTTCTGTCATAACATCATTTTTGAGATTTGCTCGTAAGCCGAGGAATTCATTTGGACCGCGTTTAGCAGAGAAGAACCAAGCCACATCAGCTATTGCCAAAAACTGGACTATTTAATTTTTTACAGTGGCGTAGCGTGCTTTGCTATATATCGATTGATCTACCATTTAAACCTGTGGGAAAGGATTGATTATCAGGGTGTCCAGGGTGTCGATTCTTTACCATAGCTTCAAATGGAGAAATATCGATAATCGATCACGCACGCCTCGCCACTGATTTTTTACAAGAGAACGTTTGTGCGGATCTCTTTGAAATTTTTTTAGAGTTTACTTCGTACTGAGCAGAAAATTTACTAAAATTTGCACAAAAATCCGCACAACCGTTTTCATGTAAAAAAGTTAAATATGGCTCAATTAATGGCTCGGTTCCTTTCCGCTTAACGCGATCTATTTTTGGGAGAATAAAACTAAACCTTTTGGATAGAGCGTGAAAATTAAAACATATATTTGCAGATTTACAAAGGATACATCAGTATTCCCTAATGATTTCCTACGGCATTAAGACCAAGTTCTGGATCTGTCCAAGATTAAGGATCCCACTTCCTCGGTTGTTGTACTGAATACAACCGTCCGATTTTCAGCCTTGGCCCTCCTCAGTTCTTCTTGTTCTTCCGAGTCCTCCGGCGTCTCGGTCTCGTCCGGAGGCTCAGTTGGCTCGACGTATACGGGTTTCTTTTGGTGCACGACGCAGAAGTTGACAGCGATTGGGTCCAACACCATGTTGTACTTCTTTGGTATCCTCCTCGGGTAAAACGACGATCTCATCAAACCGATTACCCTGCCATAAGTAGGATATGGTTATTTAATAAGAAGAGATAAGTCCGTTACCTTGCAAATCTTTTTTTTTATTTTTTTTTTTTTTTGTCCGGCATTATTTCTATGTGAAATTACGAATGAAGAAAAACACGAAGAAGTGGCCAGAACTGTATGTAACAGGGTGGAGAAATGGTGCTAGATCCACACCATTTCGCAGGGAAAACAAAGCCAAGAAGTTCAAAAAATTATAATTAGAGTCAAAATTAAATTCTTTGAACTCTAATGCGTACCAGTGCGAAACTGAAACTTACGAAACACCAGAGTTCAAAAAATTTGATTTCGACTCTAATTATAATTTTTGGAACTTCTTGGCTTCGTTTTCGTCACGAAATGGTGTGGACCTAGCACCATTTCTCCACCCTGTTACTGAAATTACGAATATATTACATCTTTTAAATGTACGTACGTTCCGACAGTTTTCATGGAAGAAGGGATGTAGGGGTTGTTGGATGACTTGGGCATTTCTAATTAATTGTGGTAGCACTCCAATTAATGGGACACTTAACAAGGTCTGTGGAAGAAGAAAACGTCACATGTTCTCTCTTCAAAATCGTACATGGAAAACAATTCTCACAACGAGAAATGAACGAGATATTAAAAAGTCTTTTAAATACAGATCAAATTGAAGTTTGATTATACAAATGACGTCATTCGTATTTTTGCCAACTAACCAATGTTAATAGAAAAAGATTATATTTGGTTCAGGAGTTGATCTTCGCAGACCCGTTGTGTGATTCGTATTATCAGTAGAATTTTGAAGAGAAAACACGTGATGTTGTGCTTTAATTTATACAACAAGAAGAAGAAATGGTGCTGGGTCCACACCATTTCGCGCGAGGAAAACAAAGCCAAGAAATTCCAAAAGTTATTTTTTTTTTTTTTTCATTTTAATTTATACTTTGTCTAGAATGTGCACAGGGAAACGGTGTTTCTAAGCTGAAAAGAAATTGAATCGGTTTCTGTTATACGGGCGTAAGTCCAAAAATTTCAAAATCGTTTTTTTTGCATTTTCAGCCTCCTTTAGGGTACATACACATTTTCTGAAAAGATGGCGGAAGTCCTATGTATAGAAGCCTGTGGAATAGGGGGGGCGAGTTCTCAAACTCGCGCATTTCTAAAGTTTCTGTAACTTTTTTCATAATAAATGAAGAACATTTGTATTGAATTTGCATCTTGACCTAGCTGTTAGGTGATATAACTTCTTATTGTGCATTGATCACAAAAATACATGATTGAAATTTGAAAACTTGGTTTCAACACTTTTTTAAATGAAAATATCCCATGTCACCTTCATTAATTTTGGAAAAATAGGAGTAATTCTAGAAAATTTAGGCCTTTAAATAAATTTAAAAACATATAATAACTCCCTATGCTATATAAAAGAAAAAAACCATGTGCTACATTTTTCAAACTTACTTTAATATTAGTTTTTTGGCTTGAAACTGTCTCAGTCATCCTTCGTTTTCTGGTATAAGGGCGTAAGTCCAAAACTTAAAATTAGCCTAAAAGGGTACTAAAATTTTTCTGAGCCAAAAAAACATTTCAGAACTTTTAAACGGGTGTTTATACAACCTTTGAACCCTTTTTTGAAATTTAGTGGTGTCCTGCATAACGAGAAAATCAGTTTTTTGCCTCTCCTGAAAAATTTGGATTTGTGGACTTACGCCCGTTTAACAGAAACCGATTCAATTGTAGTCTCTGATTGCAAAATTCGGTTAAATTGGAAATGTCCATATCACCCAACAAATTAAGCTGGTGCCAAAATTTTAGGGGATAACCCCTAAGACTTCTTTTCTGTGTTCTGGTTCTTATTCCCCGGCGAAACGGTGAACACACCTACGACGACCAATGCTTTGGCAACCATGTCCAGAGGACAAATTCTGTCACTCAATTTTCTTTTGAAGTTTTGATTATACCTCTATCAATATCATTTCCATCCCTCCTCATTTTCCTTCACACGGACTGAAAATTGATGATAACAAGCTCATTAACAACAAAAATAATAGTCTGTTAAGTCTAGGAAGCAGTGTTTGGAAGTGTGCTTACTTTTTCTTCAGTAAGCCCTCCTTGAACATTATGGTTTGATTAACGGTCATGCCCTCCAGGGTCCATTGTCTCACTGGATTCTGTTTGAAAACTAAAAACACCAATCGATGAGTCCCTGAAAAACAAACGAAATCACCGATTAAATGTATCAAATTTCTTTGTAGCCTAATACCTGGATGAATTTTCGGCCTTATATTACTTTGGAAAATTTGCCGGCTATATCGGAATTCACTTTGTTTAAGGGCGAGAACAATTTGTTACAGAGCGTAGGCTCAGATGAATTGTGTGCATTTAGTCGCAAACATGAGGTCAGATTCAAATGTTTGGATTAGATTTAAATCATACCTAATGTCATCTGTAACTGGTGAGAGCCGACATGCGGCTAGTAATTTTAGCGGTCAGGCTCAAAATTTGGAACCCGAAACAGTTGAAACGAAATTTTCACCTTAAAATTAAATATTCCTTTTTGCATCAACGACGATAGATTTCGGAGAACGTCATTTTTCGTTATTAAACTATTTAATTCCGTTTCAACGCCTTAAGTTTCTAGTCTTTATCTAAATATCATCTTTCAAAAGTCATAGGTTCTATTTTTTCTTCCTTTTTTCACAATTTCTCACGTGAACCATCCTCCACCAAAATTACTCAAGTTTTTACAATCATTTCGTCGCTCCTCTGAAGTAAGAGCGTGTACCGACTTTCACGTGAGCCCTGTTCTGCGTGTAACTCTATGCTTTCTGCGGCCCATGCAGAAATCTAGATACGCCCTGGCATCAGAGAAGTGATAATTTTAAATAACTTGTCTAATTTTGGGAATGGATGTGACCTGTAAAAACCCAGTTGGATATTCCCTCTGATGTACTTAACATTTAAGATGGCAAAGTACACTCACCTATTTCATACTCGGGGCCAGTGATACCGACGTACTCGGATAGCACATCACCTGCCGATAAGTTATTCGCAGGAATATTTCCGATCATCCAATGTTCCCACGAAGAGAGGAACTCAGGATCTGGATTCTCTCTTGATGGTACGTCAGGTCCTATTCAAATAACGGAAAACGTAAAAAAAAAAATCTGTGAAACTCGATCATCGATTTAAGACATCCTGCAAAAATCATTGTCACTGATGTAGGTGTTGATGAAAATAAGTTTTGGACTACATATTAAGAAAAAACAAGCGGGAAAGTTCTAATACTGTCGTATTAGAAAAGCGCTCAGGTGTTAGTAAATGTATTTAGTGAAGAAAGGAAGTATAAACTCCGTCGACTTGGCTGGGAAATGGAAATAAAACATCAGCTGATAGCAAACAAAGGTTACCAAGGAAACCGTAAACGCGTTTTTTCGTTTCCCGAAAATGAGCTCACCGTTGAGCTCATCAGGCGCGTTTTTTTTAGGCTTCATTTGAGTTCAACGATCAATTTCGATAAGAATTACTCTACCGCTAAGAAATTTTCTTATAGACAAACGATCGAAACTACCTGCGCATTACGTTAAAAGCATAAAATACAGTTTTCACAGCTTTATTTATTTTAAAAATGGACCCCCCCCCAAAAAAGCCTACACATCGATGAGCTGGTGTGCCATTTAAACGCATTAGCACTAGTATACTAGTACTCAGAGGCAAGTCGAAATCAAAAAGCGCTGCCTATCGGCTGAGCGCTTAAGAGGCTTGATTTCAAAATGGATGCATCTTATTGTGTGTTTTCATCAAGATTTTGTCAACATTTCATTCCCTTTTTCCCTCATTTATTGGTGCCTTTTTCAGATATGCCTTAAAAAATTACACAGTAAGAAAAAGTAATCTATTGGTGTTAATATGGGAAGTGAAACACGAAGTAACACAAGCTGTTGGTTAATTTTTTTTGTGTTAGTTTTCCCACCGTCAAGTCGACCAAATTTTTAGATTGAAAGGACCGAATATTTATGTTGAAAATCTGCGACCTCGTCCAAAACCTACGCGGCGGCCGCCAGAATTGAACTCAAGTCGCATCGGTGATACTCCAATTCGCTCACCGCTCGCAAGTGTAAGCTTATAAACTAGAAAGCTTGAAAAAAAAATTCTCAAAATCGGCCCATTTTTCGAAAAAAGGGGGGCTTGGGATCTACGTAGAAATGTGCGAGACCAAAATTTGACCCATATTCACTAAGGTCCAGCAGCACCAAGAATTTTGAAAGGAGCAAAAGTTTTCGAAAAAAGGGGTTTTTTTGTACACCCTAGCGAACATGCGCTGTTTGAAACGCATATGGAGTAATCTCCAAAAATCAACCTGGGACGACTCTAGTTTGCTTGTGCCCACCATGATGAGCGATGTGCGATCTTATTTGCTCATACAATTTTTGTACAATGAATTGGTCAATTAATATTAAAAAGTAATACTTTAAAAGGAATTAAAATAAATACCAATCACCATGAAGGTATAGTACGTGTTGTCTTCATAAGGCCAACTGATATGTGTTGGTTCATTCACTACTTCATCTGAGTCAAATGAAGTTCCTAGATGCACTGGTTTTCCACCGTATGACACCTGATAAGTATGATAAAAAAAAACTTCATTAGAAAAATGAGGTTTTTAAAGAGAAGAAGAGGCAAATTTGAATTTTTTCTTAACAAATACGCACTTAAATTGTTAATTCATTCTGCAGGTAAAGGGCGACTTAACCCTTTGTTGCACGGTGGTATACATGTCATACCACTTCGGTTTTTAATTTTTACAGCGCTGCCAATGTGATGAGCGGACTCAACTACTGAATCATTGGGTCCAATATACCTCTGGTTATCATTGCTAAATGGTATGACCATTCATTTTTACAAAATGACATGGCTACAGCGTATTGTATGTCATGAAAACCCGGTATTTTAGGTTATGTCGGATCCGCATTGTTTTTCTTCGAGTCGTGTGTGAAAAATAGGTGTTATTTTTTAGATAAATGTGATTCTCTAATCTAACTAGCCGTAATTTACTAGGTGCATTGCAGTTTTTACTTGATTTTTCATTTTGGTCGATTTTCTGAGCTGAAATAAAGTGGTATGACAGTTATACCACCGCACACACAGCATTTTGTAGATAACTCAATTTTCTGTGCATTCTCGAGGAAATCTTTCTCCCCGTTTCAAGTTTTGATCCCAATGTCACTCGAGAACCGACATTTCCTTGTCCTAAGCGTATTTCTCGGGTGAAGGGTGAAGCTACTACCTCTCAAATTCAGTCGCCATCTTGGATTTGGGGCACCCTCTTTGACCGGGGTTTTTTTATGACTGCATGCTTGAAATGTGCGACTAAAGTGATATAAGAATTGAAATCTAACTTGTCTAATCACATAAAATCCAAAAAATGCTCCCTCCTACCTTTCAAAATTGGCAGCCATCTTGGATTTAGGGTACCCCCTTTGAAAAGGAGGCCTTTATGACTTCATATATGAAATTCACAACAAAAATCTTATCAGAATTGATATCTGATATTGATATCAGATGCCTGATCACGTAAGAATTTAAAAAATACACCCTCCTGCCTTTCAAATTTGACCGCCATCTTGGCTTTTGGGACACCCTCTTTGACCGGGGGGGGGGGTTGGTGGGGGTGTTATGACTTTATATATAATGTGGGTGACCAAAGTGACATTGGAATTGATACCTAACTTGCCTAATCACTTATAATTTCAAAAAATGCACCCTCCTGCCTTTTAGATTTGGCCGCCATCTTGGATTTAGGGTACCCCCTTCGACCAGGAGGCATTTATGACTACATATAAAATTTACGAAAAAAGGTACATCAGAATTGATATTTCAGGTGTCTGATCAAGTAAAAATTTAAAAAATACACCTTGCTGTCTTTCAAATTCGGCCGCCATCTTGGATTTGGGGCACTGTTGTGGATTGGAGGGCTTTTATGACTTCACATTTGAAATCGACGACCAAATTTACATCAGAATTGATACCTCACTTGCCCAATAACGTAAAATTTTTAAAAAAAATGCACCCTTCTGCCTTTCAAATTTAGTCGCCATCTTTGATTTGGGGCTTTTTCGTTGACCGGGGGGCTATTATGACTTCTTATATGAAATTCTGAATCCTTATATGGAATTTTGGACCAAAATTTCATAAGAATTGATATCTCACTTGCCTAATCACGTAAAAATTTACAAAATGCACCCTCCTGCCTTTCAAAGTCAGATATATTGAATTCGGGGCAGTATCTTTGACTGTGGAGGGGGGGGGTGGCTGTTCTGACTTCATACATTAAATCTACTACCAAAATGACCCAGAAAATGATACCTCACATGCCACTCTTTATTGACCACAAATATTCTTTAGTTTTTTCCTGCCCCCCCCCTCCCACAAAAAAATAAGTTTCCCCTGGAACTTCAAATATACACCCCTTTTTCTTTTTCTTCTTTTCCCCCATTCCTTCCACCCTAATTCTGTGTAGTCACAAAGTTTTTGGATTTTGACCTTTTTCATATTCATTTAAAAAAAATTTTGCTTATGTTTGAAATTTCAATTTTGATTTTTTTTTATTTATATTTATTTTCATCTTGACTGCCGTTCTCCACTCGCTGGAACCCCCCCCCCCCCTCCTAAACCTGACCCAAAAATGATATATGTGATAATCGATATTACTAAAATTAGAAAGTTGAAATCATACATACATACAAATGTACTCTATGTACTAAAATCCAATGTGGTCAGCAAAGTGGTATGACAGTTATACCACCGCACAATGACAAACCTGGAAGGTCAGTGTGCGGTGGTATGACAGTTCTACCACTTTTCCTACCCCTACAGAATTTTTCAGAAGGGATGAAAAAAAATTTTGAAGCGTTTTTTGTGCTTATCTTTATCATTAAATTTGAACCATAACATTTTTTTTAAAAAAATGAAATTTTTTTTTCCGTGCAACAAAGGGTTAAGTGGAGAGCTGTTAAATGGCAAAACTCGAAAATTTCCGAGGAATTTTCATCTCTGCTTAGCGAATTCTGAGAAAACTTCAAGGAATGATGTTGATTTGTTCACCTTTAAAAAAATATAACGGAAAAACTATATATTCAAGTTAAGAAGCACCTTCTTATTCCATTTTGCGTAAAAATGCTACCATGTGTTTTCCCAAGTGCCTTATCACTTCATTCTTGTAAATTTTACATAAATTTGTAGTTTTGTACAAGCATAAGGTATATTTTGCAGTTTGTACCTACGTCATGTTTAGCATCTACTTATACACTTTATTGTGATTTTTGGTATTTTGATGCCAATTTTTTTTTCTTGATGTAAATTTCACTTAGTAGGAACAAAAAGGGCTTCCAAATCAGTTTTTCTTTTTTCGTACTTTTTTTAGGTAAAAATTTAACAGTCAATCAATGCTTGTTACTAAGGATTATTCCACTTCCACCGGGATTCAAAAATTGGAGGACGAGATTATCTGATTATATTTGCACATACTCCTGGCACAGGCACAGTCAAATAAATATTTGACGCAGTGCATGAACACAGAGTCAAGACAAACTATCGTTTCCATTTTTCTGGGAAAACTAGCACCAGTGAATTAAGTAAAAATCAAAACTTCGTAGTTCTATATGCAAGACCCAGTTTATGTATCATAGGATCGCAATCCGACTGTCTGATGATCATTTAAGAGCTAGAGAAAGTTGCAATTTCATCACTGTGATAAGAATTGAAATCTTTAAGAATATTTTTCTGAAAATTTGCGTTGAATGGAAAAAAGTACTGCGAAGTCTCTTGTCAATACCAAAGTAGCACAGTTACAATAAATTGCAATTATACAGTAAAATTAGTTAATCGTAACTTATTGGAATGTTGTCTATTCACTGGATGAAGGGGCTTCTCTTATTGTTCATTTCAATGAAATTTGAAATAAGATGGATTTTTTGTGTGTGACAAATTACCGATGCCTTTCACATAGGTACATCTCTTTCTTCTTGATAGTTTAAAAAAGGCATTTATGGCCCGTTTTAAAAAGTTTTGCAATTTAATTGCAGAATTATTTCAATTCATCCATTAAAACAGTGCTACTTGGGTAGGAAATGATGATTTCATCATGATTTTATACAATGGTGTAAAAGTGATAACTAGATTTGGAGTCTTCCGCATTATTAATGAAAAAATAAAAAATTAACTTTATGAGTCGCTCAACAGGAGAAAAGGCCCTAGCATTGGAAATCCTCACTCATATAGGTAAATGATTAAAAATATAACTTTGTGAGCTGAGGAGTTAAATTAAATATAATGACACACGCCTTGGGGGTTTGTACCTAACTAAGGAAGAGCTTAAGCATTCCTCTAATATTGCGGTTTTTGAGGCAAAAAATCTTTGAACACTGTTGCTCTAGAGACCTCTTTATGGTTAATAGGGAAGCGTAGGAATGCAAAACTTATTGGTACATCTCTTTTCAATGACAGAATTAGATCTAAAAAAAAATAAATAAAACAATGTAAGTACGACTATTATATTTAACAATATTGGCAAAAAGAATACAGTTGAGTGTGAGATTCAAGAAAATTTAAGAATTTTCGGATGCATTAGATGGTGGACTTAGAGGAGGCGAGGGGGAGTATCAAGGAATGACCAAAATACATAAACTTTTTACAGGGTTTGTGAGAATAAAAAAAAAAATTAAATGCGTGTGTACTTAAATCATTCTTTTAATTTTTGAACATATTGTTGAAGCTTCTAACTGCAGCAAGGACAATCACAGAATATGGTTTTGATACAGCTGAAAGAGAAACAGTATACACAAAAATTGTTCTTGAGCCCAAACTAATTACAAATAAAAAATGTGAAAACTGACAGAGACTGAGAAGAATAAAATACATAAAATAATGCGAAACTATCACATATAACAAGATTAGCAAAAAGAATGCAGTGAGGGGTGGAATTCATGGAATTTGAGAAGTTCCGATAAATTTTACCAGTAAGAAGTTCCTCCAAAACCATCATGTTCAGACGGGTGAAAAAATGGATAGGCTCTTAAAAATATGGAACAAATAAAGGGTCATAAGTCAAAAATCAAAGGAAACAAAAAAGAAAAGGTCCTCACATTTGAAATGGGAGGGAGATTTTGTGGGAAGCAGGCAGGCAGGATTTTTGAGAACAGGGAAGTCTGAAAAATTCTGCATCCCTACTTACAATTATTAAAACTGGCTTTTTCTCAGATCTAGTGTTATTTGCACCTATCAACGTCAAAGGAATATGACTTAACAACAGCTCGAGATTTAAAACTTGAAAGAAAATGGAAGCTGTACAATTTTGGAGGGATTATCTTTCATTATTATTTACAGAGATATCACTAAAAAATATTAATTAATGATATAAGTCAATAAGAAATGAATTAACAATGATTTAGCAACCTGCAACCAAAGAGTGGTCCAGCAGATAAATATATGGGGTAAGAAATGGAGTTCTAGGTTCAGCTATACCTTTGGCATTTACTTTCAAGATGTTTAGCTGACAACAGTTACCGTGTATCTGTTAGACAAACTGTAGAAGGTTAAAAAGAACAAATCCTTATCAAGAAAAGCGAGGTGAGACATGAGAGGTTGGATAAGTGCTCCTGCATTAGGAACGAACCACAGTATGCTGCAATTTGCTAGGATAAAATGTTGGTCCTCCTGAATTTTGCCATGATTCTGGTTTTTGGACAAGACAGAAATACAATCTACGAATCTGCTTAATTACTCAATATGTCAACCATTGCAAATGTCAGTAACAGATGGAACAATTTTTATACCGATATACTACATTTTGAGGTAGTTCACTTTGGAGACCATCTGGACCTGGCAGAAGAGTAGCATTTTTCAGGAAGCAGGCATAGAGAAAAAAAAGGAGGTGTTCGCGTCTTGAGGATTGTGTACCTAGTGACGTAGGTCGGTACAACTTGGTCAGCAAAATCCGGAATTTGAAGTATGAGACACAGACCATGACGTCCAATTTTTTTGCTTAAATCAACTCCTGATATAATCTCAAACACTTTACATAGAATGACTTTTTTCCATCAATTACACCATTTCCAAGAAAATCGATGATGTAAGTCGCCATACCGACCTACGTCATTAAAAAAATTCCAAAATGCCCAAAATGCAAACACCTCCTATTTTTTTTCTATGAGAAGCACGTAAATGAGGAAGTGACTGGAATTAAAAAGGTTAGACATTTTTGGGCGGTTATTTTAGAGGAAACCACTTTTGTTGTGTTTGCAGCAATTTTTAAAAAAAACTTTCCTTTAAAATTGTATGCTTGAAACTGTTTTCGAAGTGATCACTTTAAGAGATGCGTCAGTGTCAGAGAAAGCAGTGACTGATGGTGGCAGGCATCTTTCCTGATTGCTTTAAGTCTGCTTTTTGACAATTTAATGATTATTTTAGATCAATCCTCTTAATTTAAAAGACTGATATTACTCTTTTTAATTCGTTTGTACACTGTTATTCACAACTTTTTAGAAGTAAAAAATAGGGATGGAGAGATTGTCAAAAAATGCTACTCTCACTTCATGCTACTAACAATGAGTGAAATCACATGGTTGAAGTGAATATTAGAATAATATCACTAAATATTGGAAAAGCTCTACAAAGTGTGTAAAATAGCAGAGAAATCAATTTTAAGGTGCTCACAAATGAAGTCCAAAAACATTTTAAAGAAGAAGGTGGAACCCAAGATGTGGCAGTTGGATAGCTGAACTCTTGAGGCTTGAGACTCAAACCTTAATGTATTGTACTGAGCTGAAAATCAATTTTTCTCACAAAAAGTCGTTGTCTCATCGTCAGTTTCAACGATACTTGGTAATACTTAAGCCTTGAATAAACGGGGTACAAGTCTCATGCATCAGAGGCTCTAGGTTGCCACATCTACAGTGCACCACCTAAAATCATTCAAACAAAAAAGTAAAATTATTAACTTAAAATAGAGAAACTATAAACAATTTAAACATACAAAACATATGAAATGACACAGGAAGAATGACAAAAATCACAGAAACAAAGAAAAAAGGAGGAGAGAGCCGGCTGGAGTAATTAAAATACAAAGTAAAGTACAAATGTAAAACAGGGATAGGTTTGCTGTTGAAATGCTCTCAAAAATAATTACCTCCACAATTAATTAAGAATTGAGTTGGACTCAAAACGCAATAATTTAAAATACTTACTTAATAATATTAAAGCAATAGTGAATAAATATTAAACAGGTACCTAGAATAATAGGACAAGGCTAGACAATGAAAGGCTCATTGTGGAGAAGTTGATACATAAGATAAAATACTATACCAAAGCGTATCATCAGTGGAACTACAAAAACGCAAATCTCCGTTTGCAGTCCTACAGACTTCCCGTCACGATTATTTTTTGATGGAAAAATAATCAACATCATTTCTAGAAAACTTACCTGATTTTTGTATTTTATGGGGTGAGTATTCTGTAAGAGTTACGAGCAAAAGTGTTGGTTCATTTTCTTTCAATTAAATAAAATCCAAGAACCAAGATTTTTAAATACAGAATACTTACTGCAAACAAGATTCACGTTTTTGAAGTATCACCATCGATGTGTTGACTGTAGATAGCCTTTCTTTACAAAGCATTGGTCGTACTAAATTTCATAAATTAACAAAAAACTTTAAAAATAATAGTTTATTTTTAGTTCATCAAATTAATATTCTTCAGACAATTCTGGAGAAAAATAGGACCAATTGGACAGAGTTCATCAAAAAGGAGCCAACCCACAATAAGTTGAAACTGAGAAAAAGAGGTTTAAAGTTTTATTCCTGCATATGGCTGAATGTAGAAAATAAAGTTTAACCCCTTTTTTCACACACTATTTCTGTTTTTCGACTTTCAGTTTTTAGCGGGAGAAAATATACAGCTAGTGGAACTAAAAAAACATTTTTGACTAACTTTCTCTCTCGGTGAGTTGGTTCCTTTCTGATAAACTAGGTCCAAAAGAGAATTAAAATAAGCATACATACCTGATGAAATTCGGGGAATTTGTACTTACAATTGACAGAAAATAGCTTTTAAAAAAAACTTGGGAATCTGAATTTCACCAGGAGTGGATAATTTCAGATACAAAGTAACATTAACGATGAACTTAAATTTAACTATTTCCTAAAACATCACGGGTAGAGGACAAAAAGGCTCATATCACTTTAGTGCTAACAGAAAAGGAAAATAATGTCACCTATTTTGGATTTTTCTTCGTCTTGGCGGTTGATGGCTTGGAATTATTCAATGATGCATCAATTTTAGCTTCAACCAAACTCTTTTTCCTCTGCACTGGAAAACTTGAGGTATCCTCAGTTGAGGGAATAACTTCATTTTCTTTCTCTAATTTTTTCTTCTTAGGTTTTAATGAGTCAGGGGCATCAATATTATTTCGTTTCAAGTTCTTTTTTGAAGAAATAGTGGGCTCAGGGGTATCCTTGAGCAGCTTGATTTTTTCTTCTTTTTGAGTACTCTTTCTGCTTGGTGATCCTTGTTCTGATTCGGTCGCAGTGGCTCCAATTTTGCTAACCCTTTGGCTTCTACTATTTTTCATCGGACTTAGCTTTGAGTTATCGATTGTGGTAGCGATTGAATTTTTTGCTTGAGTATTGTTTTTTTCAACTGATAATTCAGTGAGATCTATTACCTCGGTAATATTCTGATTTTTTTTTGAAGGTGATGTTTGACTTGAATTTTTTCCTAACAAATTACTTTGGTTTCTCTTCTGTTTCTGTATTTTCATTATACTGGCTTTCATAGTGTCATCAGGATTATTCAAAGTTTCATCATTGGACTTTACTTCAACTGTGGAAGATTTAGAAGAAACTGTTTCAATTCCATTTTTTCTTTCAATTTTCTTCTTTTTAGGTGGAGAGGGTTCTGAATTGGCAGAAGACAATGTTTCACTCTTTCTCTTTTTCAAATTAGAACTCTTTGCATTACTTGTATCGTCAGCTCCTTTTTTCCCTGCCAGTTGACTCTTCCTCTTTTCTTTCTCCTCCTTTTTTTCCTTCAGCTTCCGTTCTTTCTCTTCTTTCCTTTCCTTTTCCTTCTTTTCTTTTGCTTCCTTTCTTTCCTTGTCTCTTTTTTCTTTTTGTCATGGGAACGGAGTTCCCCATGATATTACAATCGTTCCGTTGCTTTCGCTATGGGATTCCCTATACCTCTGCGACCTTGAGCGTTTCGCCCAGTCTCCGATTTTCGGTTGATTTTCCGATGTATCAAAAACCGTTGTATTTTTTAGCCAATCATGTCTCTACGTCAAGTTGTGTTGATTGCTAAAATTCGCTTTCAGCGAGTTTTTTTCCACTTTGAGATGTCGTGTCTGACTGGTAAATCTGCGCAGAACCACGAAGTTCCGTTTTTAGGCAAATTCTTTTTTTTTGGGAGGTTCTGATTGGTTATTTTTCGCCATCAGTTTTCTGTTCGTTGGCACCCAACCTACCTCGGTGTTCTTGAGAAGCCGCCATTATCCCACCTCAAATTTGAGAAATAGAAGTAAAGAAATAATAACCATCGTACAAGGTGGAAAATTGTTCTGGAGGACTCGTTACGGACAAAGAAGTCAAAGTCAGAGCTCGATTGATTGATTTAATTCATGGATAAACAAATATCGCCTCAGCTTACTGCCGCGATAGCAAATGCATGCTGAGATGAACCTTGAGACACATGATAGCATAGGCAAACAATGTCTCACAGAGAAAGGCGCTTAGCTCATTTCTCTCATCTCGAAGCTACGAAGACGCGAATCGCTCAAGGACAACTCTTGTGATAAGTCCCGCCCATCGTCCGAGTCTTTTAAATGCTATTTTTTCTCTACTGCTCCGCGGATCTGTGATAGCCTAGTTGACTGAGGCGCCCCATTTTTTTGATAAGGTGCGGGCAATAGGTGATCGGGAGTTCGATACCCGGCGATGGGAGTTAATTTTTAATGGTTGTATTGAATGTTTTAGACCAATCATCAAAAAATAATTAATACTAGATGATAAATGTACGAACATTTTCTCGTGAGTTAATATGTTAAACAAAAATACTGGAATATACCTCCTTCATATAATCAGCCACATGTTTCCCCAAATTAATGACGTTATTTTCTTTTTTTCAATAAAGTTTATTTGCATTCAACGTTCGTAAGTTAAGCAAGATGTACCTATTGATACAAATAGAAAGACATGAAAATAGTATGTCTAACATTTCAGTTGTTTTTTTTTTTTTTTTTTTTTTTTTTGTCTTTTCAATAAAACAAATTGCCTTGGACTAGAATCAGTGTATCTCTGAAGACAAAAGCTAAGTTTTTTGATACAGAAATACTAATATATTCATCCGTTATATAATCAGGGAGATGTTGACCCAAATATTGATGTATATTTTCTCTGTTCGCCCAAATTAATGATGGTATTTTCTTTTTTCAAAAAATAAATAAAGCAATGACATGAAAGTAGTATAGTGCACATCGAACATTTCAGTTACATCTATTTGAATGAAAAAATGGCAACTTAGGAGGCACATAGGTCACTTATGATGCGTATTCGGGCATATGTGTAGAGTAAAAATATCATACTTTACGCCGAAAAAGCGAAACTGAAAGTTAAATGCGTTAACTTCCGAAAACCATGTATAATCCAACGAAAATAAATAATTGGTAAATAACAGCTCTCTTGTATGCAAAGAAAAAAAAAGTAAAAATGTTAAAAAAGAGATGTTGACACAAAATTACATAGCCCTTTCAATTCTGAAGATACTGCAAACGAACTGTACCTTAAAATTTTCATATCCCAGAAGCTAAAGTTCCCATGACGAATATTGCTATCGCTAGCGATTGCAAAAACCAACTTGTTCTTCTTTCCTTTCCTTGTCTCTTTTTTCTTTTTCTTCTTTCCTTTCCCTGTCTCTTTTTTCTTTTATCTCCATCCTTTCTTGGTATTTCTTGGCCTTTTCTATGTCATTAATAGGTGGTTGCAATTCTTTGTTTATCATCGTAATCAAGTGCTTACAGCGTTTCTTCAAATCAGAAGGTGAACTTTTCTTGAAGATGCGGCTATGCTGGAAACCAGGTGCTGATTCAGTGGCCTCCTTTAATTGTTCCCAAACATCAGAATAAAATTCGGAGTTGAGAAGCATATGCAATGTGCTAATCAAAAATCGATCGTCTTCTTCAGTAAAACCCATGGCTCTAGTGGGTATCGATTTTGGCTTTTTCTTACCATACACGATTTGCAGCTCTGTGAATGGATCTTGATACGACTTCATCTTGTTATCTAGAGTTCTCTTGATTGCTTTCAATCGCTCAATTGATGCCTCACCGAGCTCAATTTATGACTGAATACGATTACAATTGCGTAGCTCTTGAAATCGGTCCCAAAACACTGAGCAATATTTCAGGACTTCGTCTGGTGTTTTGTCTTCAACTGCCTTACAAATTTTATCAAGATTATCTCTTCCATAAACTTCATTTGCTTTAACAAACTGACGGAAATCCTTTTTGCTCCAATTCATGAATCCTTGAGTTGAAAGCTCTTCTTTTTCCTCGATTTCATCCTCCGTAAGTGGTTGGGCTTCATCAATTTTTAACTGTTCTTCATACTGGGCTTTGGTTGCTTTGTCGCCTAATCTTGCGTCTAAAGAGCTTGTAGCTCATGGCTTTTTTGCCACCATCGGAATGCTTTTCCTTGAAGCTCATACAGACGCTTTGGCAAAAATTGAAAGTCAAAAATCTTTTCAGGCTTTGGAAATTTAGGCTGTTTGGGTTCTTTAGGTTCATTAGGTGTTTTAGATCCGTAATACGCTTGATGCATTAGCTCTCGCTCAGAATAATTGGATTTTCTTTCTCGTCTAGGTGGCTTAATCCAGTTTTCAATACTGACTAATTTTTGCTTGGTTCTGTAGTCCTGGCCTTCAAACATATAGAATGATTCTGTGGGAGCATCAGGTGTGAAGTTTTTTAGGTTCGATTCTCCAAGAGCTTCCATTTGTTCTTTGATTTTTTCTGTTTTAGCGGCTCCTTTCTGTAAAATTGTGTCGATATCTTCATCAGTTATTTCGGAATCTTTGGAAGATATGACATGCTTAGCTCCAAATTGGATCATGTTCAACATTTCGCCTTTTTTCAATGTCTTTTTTTGACCAGCTAAACGACCTTGCTGAATAACTAGCTTATCAAGCCGTAGCTTGACCTCTGCCCTTTCAATTATTTTCTCTTCAACAGTGTTTTCAGTAATCAATCGGAAAACTCTCACTTGTTTCTTTTGACCAATACGATGAACTCTATCTATGGCTTGTAAATCTACCTGAGGGTTCCAGTCAGAGTCATACATGATGACAACATCTGCAGAGGCTAAGTTGATACCAAGACCACCAGCTCGAGTTGACAGTATGTAGACAAACTTGTCACTTCCAGGTGCGTTAAAGGCACCTATGTCTTGCTGCCTATCTTCATGAGGTGTACTGCCATCCAACCTGCAATATTTGTATCCTCGCAAAAAGAAATAATCTTCTAGGATATCCATCATACGGGTCATCTGACAAAAGATCAAAACTCTAGAGTCTTGTTCTTTAAGTTTGTAGAGTAGTTTGTCAAGAATGACCATTTTTCCACAATTTGTTATTAGGTGTTCATCAGTGGTGAACGGAGGACCGTCTTCGGCTCCATCAAATAGGTATGGATGGTTGCAACATTTACGCAAATGCATCAATATATTCAAAAGTCTCATTTTTTCCATGGTTCCAGCACCATTTATTATATCAATGTCTTTCAATAAAATTTTGGTGTACCACTCTCTTTGCATTTTACTTAATCCGATGTACACTTTGGTTTCTAGCTTAGGGAGCAAACTTTTCTCCACTTCCGACTTGATACGACGCATCAAAAAAGGACGAAGAATGGCATGGAGTCTTTCAACTAATGCATCATCTCCAAAACATCTGTTGAGGTTAAACCATGCGTCAAAATCTTCTGCAGACCCAAATACGTCCGGAAGTAAAAAATTTAACAAGGACCACAGTTCATGAAGATTGTTTTGTAAGGGGGTGCCAGTCAAGAGAAGTCGATTAGCAGACTCAAATTCTCTGACAAACTCAAAAAGCTTAGAATTTTCATTTTTAATTCGATGGGCTTCATCAATGACCACATATCGCCAATTAAACTTTTTCAAAGCACATTTCTCTCTGAGTACCATTTCATAAGAAGTGATACATGCATTCCACTTACCAGGCATCAACACATCTTTGATAAAAACTCTCCTGGTTTCTTGATCTCCTATTAAACAAATCGCTTTAAGAGAGGGACACCACTTTTTAAATTCATTCATCCAGTTAGACAATGTGGACTTGGGAACGATTACTAGATGCGGACCATTAATGTTCCGATAATGCTTCATGTAACCCAATAATGATATTGTTTGAAGGGTTTTGCCTAGGCCCATCTCGTCAGCCAAGATGCCATTGATCCCGTTCTCAAAAAGAGAGATCATCCAATTAAGTCCTCTGACTTGATAATCCCTCATCTCTCCATTTTTGATGTATGATGGTGATTTATCAAAAGTTGTCATCACCTTCACTTCCGAATTGCTCTGAGCAAGGAGTTCTTCATCTTCTTCCTGCTCTGTTTTACGTTGTCGAGTGTCACCGATGTTTTTGGAGGGTGAGCTTGGGGCCGACGACTCTCTGTTCTCAGATTTTCTTCCTAATTTGCCGATCGTTTCATCTTTGGCCTCCTTCGTCATAAAGTGAGAGAAAATCTCAGTCTGTTTTAACAAATATTCAAAACGTTTGCTTTGGTCTTTCTTCACTTTCGCATCAAAATAAGTTTTCTCCTTGGAGGAGCAAGAAGGCCTTGTCGGTTTGGTAGATGCTTTCCTCGCAGTGGATTTTGTGGGAGATTCCTTACATTTAGCTGGAGAGCTAGGGTTTGATTCACGCTTGGCTCGTAAGCTCACCATGGTTACTCAAAAACTGGACACTTCACAAAACTAAGAGGAGGAATTGATTCTGATACTGAACATGTAGGTAGGTAGAAAAGCAAATGTTATCAGGCATGAGCAGGCATACGGTAAAACTAAGACAAGTCGGTCATTTTGAGTTCACGAATGACGTTTCCAATGCTCATGCTGGGCATTGGATGTTCTCCCAGTAATGTGTAAAGTCTCCAAATACGTACTTCACTTCAAATTAATTTTTTTAAATTATAAGGGTTCGAAAAAATGAATGATCATTTAGGTATTCCTTTGTAACCACCACAGTCCTTTTCTTTGATTATTGTCCCAGTTTGATTTTTGTTGCCATCTTGAAGTTTTGTGACGTCAGGCGGGTACCACTTTTGCCAGGCGACTACCGAATCTGTAGCGCGCATTTCAAATCTTCGCCTGCTCTCAACAAGATTAGAACAAGATGAGGACGAGAAGCATTGTTTGATAAGTGAGATGACGATGAGATATAAATTAACCGTCACATTCCTTCCTAGAAATGTGCCTGTTCCAGCTGAATTTAGTTTTTTATTTCTGAATGATGAAAGAATCTCAAAGGATCGAAATATGACTAATTNATACAGTTATTAATATTGCATTCTTTCATTAATGCACCGCCGATCAAACGTACCCCATGTAGCAAAATTTGAAAGATGATTGCCAATATATTGATCATTTATTTCCAATTTTATTCCAATTTGATTTCCATCGATTGGTCATTTATTGGTCATTTATTGCCAATAATCGACCAATCCGGGAATCATCGGTCGACCAATTATTTGTCCATTTTATTGCCAATCGAATTGCAATGAAATTGGAATATTTTGGTGATAAAACAGCAATAAACCATCAACATCTCAACTTTTTTTTTTGACCTCAGGATCAGGTTGAAAACAATTTTTCCCTGAAAAACCTGCACAGAATACTGAGAATTGAGGTTTATTACTTAGAGTTGAAAAATGGAAGTAAAATAACTCTCTGAAAAGATAATGTCATGCAGTTACATAATAGCACAAATGTTTAAAATAATCGTTTTCCCTGATCCTTTCTACTCTCCCCTAAGAAGTAGTATTTAAAGATTTTGATTAGCGTATTTTTATTTTTAAACATTTCATTTCAGTAGCTTATCTTGAGGTTATTTCTGCGCCCCATTAAGGGGAGAGGATACCTTCCGCACAGGAAATTTGACAGAGAAAACGCATTCTTTGTTCGCTGTTCAAAAATAGAAATGAAAATTTAAAATTGGATGCTGCTTGTCCTTTGTCAATGTAATGATGGACACTTCAGTTTTTACAGATAGAAATAGGTTATAGAAAAAATAATTAAAGGTGCCACCATACACTTAGATGAATTTTTCAATGGTTCTCACAATTTTTAAAAATACAATTTTGCCATTAGACAAGAGCTCCATTACAGCACTCCATTAAGATAGACATAAACCTGACAAATTTACACAAATAATTACAACAAAAATTCACATGGATCTTAAGTCTGAATGAGTTTGATTCAAACGCTGCCAACATTAGGTAAAATAACATTTAAGATTTCACACCAATTTAAAATAATTCTAATTAGTGTTCAGTTGAAACTTGCTGAAAAAGATATGATAGTGGATATACTCACTGCTAACTTCCAGTGTTTTCTTCATAATTTGGTGTACTGTTCAACTGCGAATAAAGATTAACAACATTTGATTGCTTGGCAATTTTATCATCAATCAAAAGTCGTTAAAATTCTTATACGAACAGCTGTCTGACCTGTAGAACTTTTGTATACTCACTCCCTGCATCCTCATAATATTTTCACGCGAAGTGGTGAATACGAAAGTGCTTACACATCTCATTTCAATGTGGTTGAGTTGTGTAGCTTCAGGATGGATTTTAACAGTGTGCAAAATGATATGTTTCTGGAATCTCTGTGCTTTTCCCAATATACACTTACAGACACATTAGACTATTGCGTTATGACTCTTTTCATTTTGCTTTTTGTTAGCGGGTCAGTCAGCGGCAATGGATGTTTGATTAAGCTTGGTCTTATCAATTCGACAACCACACGAGCGGAGCCAACAAAGAAGGCTTTGTTGATCCTTCAACTCACAGTTTTTTTAGTTTACGCGGTGAATTCAACATGAATTGTGAACGATAAAAAACAATCAATCGCCAAGTTTTCATGCTGATTTCACAGTACGACAAAAATCACACGACTTTAAAACTACGGATTGGTTATTTTTTCTATTCATTCAGTGAGTAAGAAGTTGATTGATAAGTTGGCCATTATGTGAACTTCAGTTTGTGAGCGCCGTCGAAGAATTTACGCCTCTGCGCAAAGCGGTGTTCGCTACTATCCACCTTAAAAATATCAGGCTCATGATTGTATCGTAAAAAAACTACGTATCAGTTATGATCCGCAACATTTATGTGGTTGTGATTTATGTGCGGCTAAAAATTTAATTTTTACAAGGCTTGGAAGTATTAAAATACCTATCTAAGCTTGCGTTTTGGCTTCTGCTAGATTCAAATGGTTTCATGTGGATACGCTTGCAAACCGAAAGAAAGTAAACAATGGCCAACTTATACGACTACACCTCTAAGTGGTTGACTGGTTGTCGGACCAAGAAAATAACCAGTGGAAGTTCTGTTACTTGTTTACAAGGAATGTTAAACAAAGTACCTCGTATAACGTGAACTGAAGTCCATAACTATTGATGGGTTGATTTTAAGTGGTCTTTCATCTGCTTATTTGAGACGAGATGCATATGAAGGCATTTCTAACCTCATTTGTGGCCTTGCAATATTCACAGGCGATTTTGGGAAAAGCATAAAGAAAGAGAAATGAGTTCATTCTAAGTAACTTACAGCTTACGGCTTAAAACAGAATAAAACGGCCACTGCGCTGAGCTTACTAGTGGACAACGTTAACATGAGGCACATTAGGATGTTATTGACGACGACCACAATAAGCGAGCGATAAATCACCAACTGGGATAATGTGCATGCACGTGCACAGTAAGATACTTGGTGTTTTTCATTTCTGAATCTTAGATACACTCAACCGAAAAAGTGCCGTAACTAACACACAAATGACCAATTCACATCATCATCTATTACGTTGGTTTTGTAACCGACTAACCGACTCAAAAACACAACATCGACAACCGAGGTAGGAGGTACGACCGTGCAGACAGGCACCTTCGAACGCTATTAAAGATGGCCGTCCATAATGACGTGTTTACTGTCCCGCGCGAAAAGTCAAAATAATTTTTACATAAATAATATAATGAAACAATAATAATGATAATAATAAAAAAATTGATGTACTGCAACTTTCCGAAAAAGTTAAATATTTTGAAGTTTCAGTCTCAAATTACTAATTGTAAGTAACAGGCAATTCATCCATGAGCAGCCAATTAATCGTCAATCTTGAAAAATTGTATTTTTTACATAAAAGTATTAGGTATAAGTTCATAACTTATCGCCGTAAAAAATGACATTAAAATAGCAATATACCTTCAACATTAAAATTAGCACAAATAAAATTGCAATTGAATGACAATTTTATTCCAAAAATATGTCCATTATTTGTCAATATTATCGGTTTCCAATAAATGGGTGATAAATCGGCAATTTATCACCCATCAAGATCTCAGTCCTGCTACATGGGCTACGGTACAGGTGAACATTTTGTTAGAGGAGTCGTTCCATTGGCGGCAATACTCATCATGGCCGACGCCAGTCCGCCAAACACGTGTGATGGGACGAGATAACACCTGAACTAGAGTCCCTTTATACCCAGAGTTACGACAACTCACTTTTGGTTGGGCCAGGATTGGGCTGAAAGTGGCCTAAAAAAAAAATCCAATTCTGATTGGTTCTCGCTCATGGAGGCCGAAACGAGTGCACTAAGATGGCGGTACCTCGAATGTGAACAAGAATAATGAAAATATTACCTAATTGTGGTT